TTCAGAAATATTGACTGGCCACAAAGGAAGAGAGAATTGGTGGTGTGTAGTAATGCCATTGGGAACACACAGAAAGTCTGTGATCTATGCACTCCTGTTTTAGGATCCTCATGTGCAAATTTGTGTGTTGCTGCTAGGCACAAAGAAATAGTTGCAGCTCTCCTTTTGGGGCTTTTAAAAAACATGAAAGTAAATGGGATGTCTACAGCTGTTTGATTTGGTTACAAAAGAATAGTCAAACAAAAATGACAGATGAAACTCACATTATTGCTGCAGGTTTTATATCGAATATTCCTGCCTTCACAGTTCCTGGAGAGAGGGGAAAAAGCAAGGTCTGAATGCAGTACATAATAGAAGTAGCATGAAAAGACTATCTTTTTGCATAAATTATTATTTTTAATAATGGACATGTATCATTATCTCTCACATATAATACTGTCTGGACGATGAAGAATTTAGCATGACAGTCCGATGGAGCAGTTACACCTTCTCCTGTTAGCCTTACCTCTGTGTAATGTCCCAACCTACCAAGATATTTCTTAAATATTATGCACAATGTGTTACAATTTTCTTCAACAAATGACTTACACAGTGAATAACAGAGTCCTTTAAATCACATTGTTATTCATGGACAGACATTCAGGAAGAGCTCAAAGGCTCTGGGCATGGAGGGAAGAAGCAGGAAAGCAAGTAGGAGGGATAAAAGGCCTGGAAGATGGAGGAGAAAGAAGAGGCTGTTCATTCAAATTATGCCTTCAGCTCCCTAAAATGTGATTCTTTCCTAACCATGGGAATATGGTACAGGATTTGGATTGATTTTAATTTACTGTGATGTTTTAATGTGTTGTACGCTGCCCCGATTGCGTGGCAGAGGGGCGGGATATAAATGAAAATTATTATTATTATTATTATTATTATTATTATTATTATTATTATTATTATTATGATGTTAGGAGAGAAATTCATTGGTTTGGATTTGTATTATGAACCAATTTAATTTACAATCACCCAAACTATTGTGTGTACTGTAACTACTGTAAACAATTGCAATATTTATCCTTCAGTTTTTGAATGTCTCTGAATTTCATGTCTCCATTTGTTTTTTGTATATCTTCAAGTTCCATATGTCTCCATGCCCACCAACATTTCACAAATGAAAACTGAGATATGTGAGGCCAAGCAACATCAAGAGTATGGTCAAGATGGCAAAAGTTATTAACGACAAAGAACTAGGGATGTAATTCTTCTCTAAGTTTTGTCTTGTAGATAGCAATGATTAATTTCAGCAATTTTCTTCCTGTTTCAAAAACCACACAGTATTTCAGGGGTATTCACAATTCAGAATTTATTCTGTGCAAAATTCGTATGTAATTGTTTTGCACCAAAAAAAAAAAGCATTTTCTACATAGGAGACAGTACTTTCTGTGTGGAAAGTAATACCTCTACCCAGAAATATTAATTCTTGTGCAGAATATGTTGTTTTCTGCACAGAAAATGTTGTCTCCTGCACAGAAAATGTTGTTTTCTGCACAGAAAATGCTGTTTTCTATGCAAGTCAAACATGTGCAAATTTTATTTGAAACAAATCCCCAATTACAGCTTCTTTCTGTACAGAAAATAACATTTTCTCTGCAGAAATTAATTCTGCACTGAAATACTATTTTCCACACAGAAAGTGCAGTTTCCTGACCAAAAACATGCTGTTTTTTACACATACAAAAACAAATATAAATCTTGCACAGAATACATCTTGAACTGTGGATATTATCTTCAGTACAGGATTCTTCTTGTCAAGGTTTCGTGACACTCAAAAAACATGTTTCTTCAAGCATTTTTCCCAAATATTTTCAACTGATCTTTTCATTCCTAGGAAGAACACACAAGCTAGGAGAGAGTGCAACAAATTTGCTTTGCCTGAGCAAAGGAAAGGGCAAGATTCCACCCCTCCTCTCCCACCATTGAGTTTATACAGTAAAGCTACTTTTGCACTCTGAACTCAGTTTGCAGAAATGGAGGTAAGCCGAGGACAAAAGGGGAAAGTGGAAGGTAGAGAAAGAAACTGGGACATTGTAAAAGTAGCTGAATAGTGGGCCAAGAGAGGATTAATCATGACTATCCCTACCAAATTGGGACAGTTGGGGGGTATGAGTCTCCAATCAAAACCTTTATACCATAAAGAAATATTAGGGAAATTTACTTACAAAAATGGGATGCGTTAAGCCAAACTGAATTTAAAAGACACATATTAAGAAAAACTTGAACAAAAGTTCATATTAGGAGAAATTTGCACAAATGTGTTTATATTAGAACAAATGCATAAAAAATTAATAAAGATTTTCATATGAATTATACTGAAATGGAGCAAACTCAAGGTTTAAAAATGTGAAAGTTGTAGAAAGTGAAGCCAAAATATTCATCTAGCCTTACTCTGTAGTGGAACACACTCCCTTGGAGTTGTGATGGAGTATCTTTCTTTGGAGATTTTTAAACAGAGACTGGAGGGCCATCTGTTGGGGGTTCTTTGATTGTGTATTCCTGCATGGCAGGGAGTTGGACTGGGTGGCCCTTAAGGTCTCTTCTAATTCTATGATTCTATGGTTCTAACCACCACCCTTGTCTTCTGGACAAATCAGGCACCTCAAGTCTCCAGATAAGGATTATGTGACCTAAGCAGGAAAAAAAAGTGTACAAAAGAACATCAAACCTGCTTCCAAAACTCTCAAGCCAAAATCCAATTGGTAGCATCACTGAATCAAATATATTTACTCAAGTGTTTAACATACCATTCAACCAGTTGTTCAATGAGTGTCCTCTAATTAAGACTAGCAATTGGATTTGAGTGTAAAAGACAACCTTAGGTTATCATGCATAATACTCTGTAATATTAATTAGACTGGTGAGAACAATTTGCAGCAGAGAACAAGAGGCAGTTAACCCTACACCTGGCAGTGACATTCCTTCTAAGAGTCACTCCTGCGGATAGTTTTTACCACTGTGCCAGAATTTTGCTTACAAGATAAACCCAAGTTTGGAATACTATCAGGCTGAGAAGCAGCTAGGAAAGTGGCATGGGGATGGGGGTTGGCTTTGGCTAGCAAGGGACATCTTCTTTCTGTTGCAAAGCACTGCACTGCTTCCTCCTCCAGAGGACACTTGCAACTTTCTGTTGTTTGTTATAACACAAGGTTGCAATGAAAATACCATTTTGTCCTTGAGGTGGATGCAGATGATAGTATTACACACAATTAATTAAAAGTAATAGACACTTCATGCATATTATCCTCCGGTGCTCGATAAACTCTTCTTTGCCTCTATTCAAATCTCCCCTTATATGAAAATACAACAAGTTCAAATTTCCAGGAGAGGCTTTCTTGGTGGATGCTCCCAGGCTCTGGGACTCCCCATGAAGGGAGGCTAAGTTGGCCATCTCCTTGTTGTTTTTCACTGCCTTTCATTTCAGCAGAAATGCTTTCAAGATTGACAGCCTTGCAGAAGTGAGCTCCACTATCTATCTCTGTGTTTGTTTATTTGTTGTTTTTAATAGCTGTCTTTTAATAATAATAAAAAAATAAAATTTATTTGTATCCTGTCTCTCTGTATAACACAACCGGGGTGGCTTGCATGATAAAACATACAGTCCTGTCTCCCAATAGCCCCCCAAAAATACAATTAAATAATTATAATTTAAAACATACTTAAAATAACAGATAAACAACAGATGACAAATAACATTAAAAAACTGTAACAGAAAACAGGGTCAGGCATAACTTTTTCAGTGGCCAGTTGTCTACTCAGGTAAGGCTAGCTGGAAGAGATTCGTTTTAAGAGCTTTTTAAAAGCTGTTTAAGGTGGTCAAGTCATGGATTTCATCCGGCTGGCCGTTCCATAATCTGGGAGCTATAGCGGTAAAGATCCTCTAGGCAGTTGCAGACAATCCAGTTTTTATAGGCTGCAATAACTTCCTCCCAGAGGACCTGAGTGTGCGGGGTGGATTATATGGAAGGAAGCGGTCCCGAGGATAGGTTGGTTTTAATGTTATGGACAGTTTTATGATATGTTTAACTTTTGTATTTGGTATAATTTTAGTGATGTTGCTTCCAATAGTTGTAAGCCACCTTGAGTCCCATACTGGGGGAAAGGAAAAAGAAGAGAAGAAGGAGAAGTTGTTGTTGGAATATTACAATTTTATTGTATTTTATATTTGTGCCTGTTTTTTACAAATCTTATTTTGCCCCAAATCAGGTGGCATATAAGTCAAATAAATAAATAAATAAATAAATAACTTAACTTCTGAACAATCCCCCAGTTTTGCATTATTCATGATCTCCTGTGTATGACCAACCTGCCATTTAGACACCTCCTCAGAGAATAGGATGCACCTCCTCCGCAAGTACGAGAGCAATCACTCCAAGCTCCCCAGGCATCCCAGCCACCTTCTTTTTCTTCATCTGACTGGGTAACTCTTGAGGTCTGGAAAAATGGCAGAAAGAAAATTAACTCAGTAGACCAGGAAAGCTGCATATGCTTCATTTACCTTATTTTATCCCAGGGAGATTCTGAGCCTGGTGATAATCAATCTGTTTCAAAATATTTTTATAGCAAGAAAAGTGATATAATTACAATTTGAAACAATTGGTCCAAAATATATCTCTGCTCTGAAAAAAAGAGGATTTCCACATGTCTTCCCACCTCATATTCATCTTTTCTGGGGATTCTAAATCCAATTATGAGTATCAGACCTTTGAAAAATTCATCTCTGCATCAATCTGTAAAATGAGATAAGGTAAAATGTTCACTTGAAAGGCTAGGTTTGGTAAAAATGTAAGGCAGGGGTAGGCAACCTTTCCCCTTTAAGGGCCGAGGGACTTCAGCTCCCAGAATCCCAGGAGCTATTGGCCAACATGGGACTATTGGCCAACATGGCTGAGGCTTCTGGGAGCTGAAGTCCCTCGGCCCTTAAAGGGGAAAGGTTGCCTACCCCTGATGTAAGGCATCAGAGCACCAGCGTGGTGTAGTGGTTTGAATGTTGGACTATGACTCTGGAGATCGGGGTTCAAATCCTAGCTTGGCGATGGCAACCCACTGGATCACCTTGAACAAGTCACACACTCTCAGCCTTAGAAGAAGGCAAAGGCAGATCCTCTCTGAAGAAACTTGCCAAGAAAACCCCATGATAGGTTCACCTTAGGGTTGTCATAAGTTGGAAACAACTTGAAGGTACACAACAGAATCAGAGCAAAAGCATCTTTGCTTATGCAGAGCATGTACAGGCAGGCAGGCAGTTGAAGCTGTATGGCTTATTGCTCTGGCCTACCCATCACTTCTTGCCAAAATAGTCCCTACTAGCTGGTTCCTTTTGGATAAATTCAATGTTAGTCTCAACTTTGGTACCACTGAAATGATGACACCTTGTTAGTCATCACTTATATGTTTCTTTTTTTCCAATGGATCTACTTTATTTTAGATTAATGCTGGATTTAATCTTTTGTAACCGCATTGAGTATGCAGTATTTCACTATTCATAGTGCAAATATGCAACAGGATCATTATTACAGTTCCAAAAAAGAAGTGTCAAGAAAGAGGTGGCCATATCATAGTGACATGACAGTTAGGGGTTTTCAAGGATATCATTCAGTCCACATTTATAAGTGAACTAACAAGATTCTTACAGTACTTCCTAGATCAAGATGTAGGTCACAACACAGTTATTCTTCAGTCTTCACACTTCTCCAACATTTACAATAGAAAAATGCACCTAAATACTGATCCCATTCATGCTACAAAAATAACCCTGTGTGAAACAAAGCAAAGAAACCATCATGGTGTTCACACTCACTCCAACTGCACTCAGTGCAGTTTGTGAGGGAGCTACCGAAAAACCCACTTAACCCAATATATTCAATACCGGAGTTTTTCCCTGCATCTCTTGTTAAGAGCCACAATGATCAGCATCTTCAGTAGTGTGAGTACGCTACCAAATCGATTTGGATTGCTCTGCATCGTTCCCAGAAATGGAGGTGCCTCCATTTTAAACTGAAATGGTAGCAAGTGTGAATGGCAGCAGGGTTTAAATGTCATGGAGAGATTTGGTAATGTAAAACGTAGTAGGAACACCAATCTGGAATTGCAACAGTGCAGAGATCCGGATCTCCTCAGGACAAAAATGTAAGTGTAAATGCCTCCCTAGAATAAAATGCATTTTAAGGAAGTTTATTTTAGGATAATATACATACACAAATGTTTTTAGGATAAAATGCATATATAAAATGGTTTAGGATAAAGTGCATATATAAATGCATATTCTAGAGAGTAAAGTTATGCAGATTTTCATGCTCTAAAACATCCTAGATTGATGCTGAAATAGGAGGGAAGACTTATGAATAAACACATAGGAAACTAGCATGGGCTTGGAACAATAGAATCTATATATTGCTACTAGCCATTTTGAGAGATGAGGAAGGTCCTTTGTTTTCCTATCCACCTCCTAACAATCATCTATATACCTTCCAATAAAAATAACCAGAGCTTTTAAGCAAAGAAACCATTTCTACAGAGCACAGATGGGGAACCTCAGGCCCTGGTGATTCTCCGGGGAAAGCAGCCTTCTGGGGTTCCCCAGCTGGCAGGATTCCCAAGTCAAAAGCACCTCAAGTCCTTTTCAAAGCAAAGTCCTTTTCAAAGCGGCAGTAATGTCAGTGGGTCCTCATGAGTGATTAAGCTTGATAACATTAAGCATCAACCACAGTCGCTCAAAGCATATCATTCAAATAAAAATAAGATAACTAAGAAGTGAGAAAATATTTTTCTAGCTGATAGTTATGTTTTGTAAGTTCTGACCTGAATGGAGATGGGGGAACAACCCCTTCTCAACTGTTTTAACACCTTGCAAGCTTTTAAAAACACATAGGAACTGTAATTGAACCAAATAATGTTTCCCAAGATCTGCTTTGAATGGGGGTGGATCCCTCGTTGTTTTTAACATTTCTCCAAGCACTGATTTTAACACATGGGAGTTGTAGTCCAACCAGAGAAATGTTTCCAATAGGTTGCCCACATCAACCACTGCCCCTCACTGGCCACATTTTTTCCTTTTTTGATAGGATACCACCTATTTGATACCACCACCCCAAACAATCACCATAATAATCATAATAATGCTACTAGCAATCACGAAATATGTTGAGGAGAGATGATGATGATGATGATGATGATGATGATGACAAAGAAGAAAATAAGAAGAGTAAGAACAACAGATGAACAGAGCAACAGACACCAACAGGTTAATGGCATCTATGCATGTCTATTAAGAAGCAAGCCCTATTGAGCTTAATGAGATTCAGAACTTTAAAATGTGGTTCTATCATTTCCCAGTTACAATCTAAAGGTATTTGGGAGGAAGCAGGGGAAAGCAAAAGAGAAAAAGTTGGAGGGGGGGGAAGAAAAATAAATGTGTTGAATGCAGTTAAGTGAAGTGAGAGCAGAAGGAAAGAAGATGAGAGAAAGAAAAAGAAAGATTGGGAAGGAGGAAGAAATCAAGTTTAACCAGTAGAATTGGGGTAATGTGAGAAAAAGGATGAGCAAGAGGATGGGGAACTATGAAAGAAGAGAAGATATTTAGCCAGGAGTTGTTAAGGAAGGGAAGAAAAAGGAAACAAGAAACAGAGGGACTAGAGTTTCAGGGCTGGATTATGAATGGTTCAATTGGTGCAGACAGGCCCAGTGCTTGGGTTGCCAAAGTGAAAACTAGAAATACTTTCTGTACTTTCAATCGTTGTGTAGAAGAGGGAATTTCAACACCTGATGAAATTCCCTCATCTACATAACCATTGAAGATGCAGAGGTTTTCGCCAGTTTTCCCTCTGGCAACCCTACCACGTTTTCAGGGAGGGGGGAGGTTAGTTTATTTCCTCTTCTTCCCCAGTCACTTTCTGAATCTCTTGACATTTGTTATCATCAACAATTCATTAAGTAACGGATGAGAATGCATGGATTTAAGCTGTTATTCTTACTGAAAATGCAAACTAGAAATCAAGTTCACACATGCTGCTCCCCATTGTAGTTTGTATATCATTCATTCATCCACTCATTCATTTGATTTCTATGGCCCCACTTTTAGATTAGGTCAGCCAGGTACAGAGAGATGGCCCTAGTTTTGGAATTCCTCCAGGGCTCAACCACTTTAATTGGCTTTTGAGCTCATGGAACAAAAAGGCAGAAGACGAGAGTATGCAGGAGGAAGGATGAGAAAGGAACTGAAGTGACATTGGAGATTATTGCACGCCTCTTTTTGGCCAATCAACACGGGCTGGGCATGGGTTTAAACTGGTCAAAACAGATCTTATAGCATGACGAATCACATACCCAATTTGGACTCCTGGTGGACTCCTGGCAGATTTTGTAAAGAACAATACTTTCCCGTTCTTTGCAAAGTATGCCAGGAGTCTGAATCAGGTTCAGGTTCACAAAGCATCTGAGTTGGGTATGAAGGTGTGTGATAAGATCCATTTTGACCAGTTTAAGCCCATGCCCAGATTGGCCAAAAAGAAGTGTGTGATAATCTCCATCCAGAAGCAAAAGAAAAAAGAATCACATGCCTAAGACAGTAGTTTCCAAACACTGGTCTTCCAGGTGTTTTAGACTTCAACTCCAATAAGTCCTAGCCAGGTTGGCCAAATGACAGGAATTCTGGGAGCTGAATTTGGAAAGCCAAAGTTTGGGAACCACTGTCCTAAGTAGAGCTGGAAAAGAATGACATTTGTTCCACCCTTTTTGCTAACAATGGTGCAATCCCAGGAAATTATACCACAAAGTCAACCTCTTAAAGTCATCTGAGAAACTGAGAACAGGTCTGGGAAAGTTAAGAGTAAGACAGAAAAAAAAGCAATTCTATTGTGCCATATTCAGCAACTCTAGGGACAGCCAATAAGGAGGCAGTGTAGAATTTACCTGCAGTGACTGCTTCCTATAGGAATGGGGAAGGCACTGAGATCTGGGATTCCTAGCAACTTGCCATTATATCTCCCTGTCATTTCCCAGCTTTTGTGCCATCCCCATCTCCCATAAAAGCATTGAAATGACTTTTCCCAGGCTTAGTTAATGGCAGTAAGTGATTTAATCCAAAACATGTTGGTATTCTAATCTTACCCCATCATTGGAATGTGGACTTTTCTGAACCTGAATCAGGTCCCTTGAATGACAATGGCTCCCCACTGTTGCTACAAAAGAGAATATACCATTTCTATTCCAATAAGTATGAGTAGGGCATTCACTAGTGAAATAAAGGTCTAGTTCTAGGTCAGCTACTAGAACTGTGGCAGATCCAGATTTACTCAGTATATTGATTGATTTCAGTGGATGTACTCTAAGTAAAGACAAAGTTTGAATTGGACTCTGTTTCTTCAATGTACAACTTTAGAAAGCATGGAGAGGGGAAGGATTCACATAATTACATGCTCACTTACAAAAAAAGTGGTGTTTCAAATATTCCCTGAGGTCCCTCAAACACTTCCCAAAAGAGGATATTACTAAACTAAAAATAAAAGAAATAGACTTAAATCCACTTGTTAGCCTCAAATAAAGTAGATCCACTGAGTCAATGTGAGCTCAAGAAATCAACACTTACAACACCTACATCCATTGATTCAAATGGGTTTGGAACAAACAATTGAATTCAGGTCACACAGGTTAGCAGATCATGCCAAAGTTCAGGCAACCTGAATGAAGCATTTCATCCAGTTTTGAATATGCTTCATGAAGTTACAGGAAAGAGTTAACAGTGTCTAGAATCTGATTGTTTGCTTCTACTTCCAGAAGTGATAGGAAATCCAAGAAAGTCTTTATTGGACATTTTGTCTTTAGAAATGAAAGCCCTAAAGACTATTGGTGACACTCTGGAAAGAGATTCTGAACTGTTAAGAAAAGATGTCCCAAAAATACTAGTTTGAAGTTGGCTTATTTCCATAAGCCGCAGACTATAGACCAACAAGAGTTTAACCAGGTTCAGAGATAACACTACGAGAGTTAATTAAACATTGAATCATAATATTCAATCTGCTCCTCACGACCACAAGG